CGTCATTTTATGGAGAAAATTTGTGGCGCCATTTAGCGGCGAAAGTGCGAACTGAACTGAAAAAACGTATGCCCGTACACGCGTTAACAAAATATAAAAAGTAATATTTTGGAACTTTGACGATGTAGTATGCTTCTTTAGACATTTTACGGCAATTTTTGTTGAATAAGTTATTCATTTTTTGGCCTATTAAGCCGAGGAAATCAATTTTTATTTGACCCCTTTACTGCATGTTTGGACATACGGTTTTTCAGTTTAGTTCGCAGTTTCGTCGCTAGATGGCGCCACAAATTTTCTCCATAAAATGACATTTTTTAAATTTTCTTTATTAAAGCCTTTAGGAAGCTTTTATTGCATTATTGTGCTTCTAATGCGATCATATAACACTTTCTGAGCCTCAGAAGTACTCGAAGTTCGCTAATTTTCGAGAAAATCACATTTTTATATTTTTGTAGTTCCAATTTTCACCGCTAGATGGACGCCAATTTTTTAGTCCATGTTTTGACCTATTTTTTTATTTTCCTTTCTAGCGCTCTGAGGAGGTTCTTGAGGCTCTAGCGCTCTGAGGAAGTTCTTATGGCATCATATAGGTTCTAGAGAGGTCACAGAACAATTTCTGACCCTCAGAAATACGTAAAATTGCCTAATTTCGGAGAAAATAGAAATTTTAATTTTTCGTAGTTTCGCCTCTCGCCGCTAGATGGCGCCACCTGTACAGTTTTGGATCGAATTCTACAAAAATTGATTTTCTGGCTTTATTAGTCATCAAAACGTATCAAACCCTAATAGAAATTTGTTTCTAAATGCCTCAGGAACCATACTACGTCGCCAAAGTGCCGAAATATTGTATGCGTAGTAGAATTGATATAGGTGGCTCATGTACGTATCGGAATGCTGACACAAAATAATTAATTACTCATTACCCGAACATTATTTATGAACTTTTATGATCGAACCATGTAAATAATGCATTGCTAACCATTCCTCAATCATAAAAGTGCACAAAATATATGCACAAAACGTGTAATTAATTATTCAAAATGAGCTCGTGTATACCGCTTGTCACCGTGGCTGGCCTTAGGTTATTAGTTAATAACTAATTAATTTCATTAAAAATCTGAACAAATATGATACGAGAAAGTAGCTAAGGGACCACTGAACATTCTGTTATAACAAAAGTGCATAGACTGTACTCAGAAAGTGAGTAATTAACGATTTTGCATACTCATTATCGTGTATATTCCTCCTGCGCGCCGCCCGCGCATGCCACGGAGGAATAATCATCAAAAAGCCATATCCCCATAGACTTTAATGTAAAATTGAATTTGCTCGCGCTTATGCACTTGACTTTTCAACTTTTTTGTTCACGTTTTTCTCTTGCACCACTCAACCAATTCAACCGGATGACACGGTTGACTATTTTTGCTTTAGCGTGAAATTTACTCGCTCGCTCAACATTGTTAGGTTAGGCGCGGAGCGCATCAATCAAACAGACATAGTGTACTCCTTGCACGATTACGAAGTCTTGTTTCGTAGTATTTCATTTCGACAATTTTTAAAACTTTTAATAAGTGAGATTCATTCTGCCCCCTTGCTGCCATATTCAAATCCATATATCATGCCGTATGTGTTGATTAATTTCTTCGACGCAGCTAACCTCATCCTCTTGAAAAATAATATTGTATATTCGTTAAACTACAAAATATTCTTTCATCATATCTGTAAAAGTGTGACCGAATGTTCACAGAGCGTAGATATCTAATTATTTAAACATATTCCACAATGTCGAGTACCGATTATGCTACCCTTTTATCGATAGATTGTATAGGGTTAACCTGTGCTGAACAACAAACGAAGCTACTGTTTCAAACTAATTACACAGAGTAAACCCTACTCTTGTATCCCTACTTTTTGCTTATTAAAACTGACATGCGCAGTATGAACAAAACTTGTTTGAATTCTGTCTGTAATCATAACATCGCGTTCAGACGCTCCAATGTAAACAAAAGGTAAGGATCGTTTTTAAAATTTTTAGATTTAAAGTAATGAGAATATGATTCTGGTAAAGTAATGAATTAACACATTGTACACAAAATAATGCGTTTTTTATTTCTATTTATTAATGTAATACTAAACAGTTTTCGTTCGTTTTGTACTTTGATAATATTTGTTTGTGAAAAATTTAAACGCACCTCGTTAAAAAGATACAGTTTAATAAGTAATACAACAATAAAACTCAGGTTGCATTTAAAATTACTTGTATATTGAAATTAATATCAATTTCGAATCAATTTCTTTAGTTACATAAAAAATTGATATTTGAATTTGACTTTATACATCTCGAAATTAAACGATGAAACTTCAACAGTATTCTTATAAATTGAAATAAGAAGATAATATCATCAAATCATGTCTGATTCTGTATTTTCAAAACCTGACATATTTTTATATATTACACAGACAAACACGCATGGTATATCAAGGAAGCAAAATAAATATATTAAGGTCACAATGTCTTCACTAAAATCAAAAGGATGCCTCTTTTTAGCTTCATCTCTCTGCGATGGATTAGAAGACAATGATATAAAGTAAAAAATTAAGTTATTTATTTAGTACTATGTCTCTTTCATTCATAATAATTGTCATATTTGCACTCAGACAAGTAAATGTAAATTATTATTAACAAAAACTCTCATAATGCAATTGTAAAAGATTTAAATCCTATACATACTATGTCAAAAAAGTAAAAAGTACATCATTGAATATAAATCTGAAGTCATTAATGTATAGTTATACTAAGAAGATACATCTCATAATTTATAATTAAATTATTTTCTGTCCCATTTTTGTACAAGTATGACAATTATTTCAGAACAAAATTAAAAAGTTATATGTAATACTTTTGTATTAATTTAATATTTTAACTAATTTATAACAGACAAGTGACAACGTTACTTCTAAATACAGAAGCAAATCCGAACACATTAATTCCTATGCATGGAGTAACACCATTTCACTTAGTGATAGGTAATGATTCTGAAACTTTTGCGGAAGAAGTTACTAAATTATTTTTACGTCATGGGGGAAATCCAAATGTTAGGTAAATAATAAGAAATTATTTGGTGTATTAAGGTATAGGAATCATAACATTTTTAGTTTAATTGAAACAACAGATCTATGTTTTGATGAATTTAAATAACACTCAATTTTGCAGATCAGTAGATGGATTAACACCAGTTCATGTAGCAGCAGCATGGGGTAGAGTCACTGTGTTGGAGCTACTTTTAGCAAATGGAGGAGATCCCCTTTGTTTAGATGAGGAAGGACGTACTCCATTTCATTATGCATTTGATGGAAAATATTATAAAGCAATTGCAGTGCTTGGAAAATATTGTGATAAAACTGTTAAGGACAAAAAGTCAACTAATTATAAAGTGACTTTTGGTAAGTACAAACTGATACATCAAAAATATATATCAGAATTCTTATATCTATTTACTTTCTTATAGATAAACTTGTAATTAATAATGGAAGTTTCATAGCAGAATATGCTGATGTACAAATTCCTGATATAATAAAAGAAAGCGAATTAGATAAAAACGACGTTCAGAGATATAATGAAAAGAAATCTACTGATACTTGCGCAAAATATTTCTGTGATTTAGATGACAACAGCTTAAGTAGCAATGATCAGTCTGCAATAGATGCAGCAAAATTTCGAATTAATGAAGAAAGGAATAGAGAAAAAATGCTAGTCAATGAAATTATTAATAAACTTTCAAATTCTTTGACATCTAGCTTTCAACAACAGGAAGTTACTAATGAACATGAACTTACTTCAGAAAAGAACGATTATGACACAAGTCCACTGTCTACAATAAGTACAGACAACAGCACGATGTATAATATCAGGAATCAGTTTTTATTGAAAAATAGAAGACAGTCTATTACTCCTAAGTATCGACGAAAAAATTTTAAACAGAGCAATAATACTAGAACTCCATTAATACCTGCATGTAATGTAGATGATTATATTATAAGTAAATCACCAAATCTTGTGATAGGTGAATCATTTGAGAAAAAGCAAGAATACTTATCACCAAAAATATCACAGAAAGAATTAAAATTTAAAACTTTCACACCATGTGCGACAAGAAATCAACCATTTCAGTCTGAGTTTAATACAGAGAAAGCAATAGCAAGATCTACCCCAAGAAGAAGGAAACAATTTTATAGGCAATATTCATCGTGCAGAAAATTAAAAAAATCTAACAGACTTACATCGTCAGAAAATACAAGCCCTGATTCAGCAAGTCCTGATTCTTTATCTCCGCATCATTTTTATAATAAAAAACCGAACTATAAGCTAAATAAAAATCTCGTAATAAAATTACACGAGAGTAAATATGATGACGATGTATCAGTAAATTTTAGTTCTAATGAAAATAAAGAAAATGAAAAATATGAAGACAGTGAGGCTTTAATAGGAGGACTTAATAACAATTTTAGCAATTTAAAAATGGATGGAATTAATTTTGCTAAAAGAAACGAGGAAAACTTGAGAGGACAAATAATTTCACCGAAAAATTTTCCGACTGAGGAAGTGGAATTAAAAGCGAATAACGTATTACGTTCTTTTAAGGAAAATGCAAGTACGTTTTTTTCGAGGTAAATTTTTTATATGTATATAACTACAAAGCATATCAGTGTAACAGTATTTGTTAAATTGTCATCAATGATTATTAAAACATTACTTAGTATTTAATATGTACAAAGCATGCATTATAAGATAAAAACGTGATCATTTTTTTAATAGAGTTCATCATAAAAATTTATAAATAGTCATTCTAAAGACCCACAAAGATAGCTTAATTTTTTAGCTACCGAAGCAGAGGTTTTCTTACTGTTAATTTTATTAGAGATTTTTTAGTGTGAAACAGATTCAATAAATGAGTTATTTTTTATCAGTAAAGTAGTTGGAATGAGTTATGAGATTTATTGATGAGATATGTGATATATACTGATAATAATAAGATAAGATATCCATATTATCATTCTGCGCTAGAAAGTTTAACTATATTAACCATATGACGTAATTAAAATTTATACATTTTCATAATTTCAACTTAATTACATATTTCTTCAGTTCCAAATCAGTGTCATATATCACTGCACAAGAGGAATATAAGCACGAAGATCTAGACGAAGGCATGGCTTTTAGAGAACGTATAACTTATAAAATTTCATCACGGTAAGATATTAAAAATAATTATGATTTTTAAAACCGATTATATACAACCCTGATTATTTGTTTATAGGCAACTGTTGGATGATACTTCGACTAATAATTCCTGTAAGATTATTTAAGATTACGTAATTTTAACATAAAAGTTTCGGAGTTAAATTTAAATAATTTTTCAGGGCCCTCATCATTGCATTTACCTAGAGATGAACCGTTAACAAATAAAGTAATTCACGAAAAGTTAATTAATTTGGGTGATAATCCGGGACCTGTTACCCATTCTACAAGACAAGTATATTTAAAACGTCTTATGAAGTTGGAGAACAAAAATAGGGTAACAGAAATATATAATAGTAAAGAAGAATTCTTTGATAATGCTGACAAAAGTAACCGTGTTTTGGTTAAATCATATATGAGTTTAGAGAGGCAATTTGAGAATTTATCTATCAGATCTAAGGAACATTGTTCGGAAAAATACAACTCATCACCAGCTCAACATAATCGTGTTAAAGGTGCCTCTAAAGCTGATTGTTACGAATATAACGTGTCGTCATTTTTAAGATACGGAAGTTGGGTAAATGATTTGCAAATGTACAAAGCAATGGAAAAGCAGATTTTTGAAGAATATTCTGCTGCAAGTCCTTCTAGAGGATGGAGAGGAGGAATAAATAAAGATAATTTTACTTATTTGCTCTTAGATCCCCGCATAACAAACAATTTATATATGTGTGCAGACAATTTGCCAGAGGACACTGTTTGGTACGAATTTTTCTCCGCTGTGTTTTACATAGGCAAAGGCAAACGTAATAGACCATTTTCCCATCTTAAAGATGCTTATCGTGCATGGGTTTCACGTGATGATTCTGATGACGCGAAAATTCAACATATTTTAGACATTTGGAATGAAAAGTATGGAGTTATTTGTCTTCAAGTTTTTCAAAATTGTAGTACAGAAGAAGCTCTCACACGAGAAGCTTTCATGATTGATGCTATAAAAGTAGAAAGATTAAAGAATTGTATTAATGGAACTTATTATGGAAAAGCTAAAACATGGAGTATGAAGGAAAAACGTAAATTTGGGAGGTATTTATTGTATAAAGCAATGCAAATTTATTTAAATGAAGGAGAGAGACAAATATTTCCCTATAATTTAAGAACTTAATTCTGTTCTTATAGAAATTCAAAGTTTATATAAATATATGACTAATGTACATACAGGGTGTTTATTACTTCTTTTGACAAATTGCAAAATTGTTTTATAGTCTATAAATAAAAGTAAGAAACATATGTTACTTGAAGCTTTGCTGTAAATTCTTAATTACGAAGTTGTTATTATGTACATATTTCAGATTATATTTAATACTTATAATTTTTTGATAAGCTGTTTGTCAAGAAAAATAGGAAATGCTCTGTATATATGTATATGGATATTCTGTATTGTTTTGTAAATGTTTAAACCAGTGCAATACTATGAAAATAAATGAATAAAGAGGGAAAGATTGTAATAATTTATGAATATTAATCCTGTTTAGTTTTAGTTTTATTTAATATTTCATTGTATTTATTGAAAATACAAATTACATTTACAGATACGGTCTTTCTGGCTTTATCTTAATTGGATTCCTATCCTTTTTAGGATACCACCTATGTTTTGTAGTATATGTCATTTTAGAAAGTTCTTCAATAACTACTTCTGATCTCTTTTTTTTAAAAACTTCTGAAATTTCTTTTTCACCAATAGCCAAAATAGAATTTGATGGAACTTGTTTCTCTTCCGGTAATGGTAATGAACACTCATAAGGAAATTTTGGCTCTGGATGCCAACATATAATCATATCTTTGCTTAATGGTACAACAATTTCTGATGGTAATTTAATAGAACTCATGTGTCGTTTACAAGATATGTTCAGCATACGTGTAATATGTAATGCAGAATTCATCTGTTTAGAAGTAAAAAAAGACATTGGTTATCGTCAGATCTATAACGTATTTATAAACAAATTATATTTTAAATTTGTAACTATGTTTATATAATATAATCGCAATACAATTGTCATAACTTCCCAGATCTTGATTGTATACATTTGTATGAGTACAAAATATTTGAATTACAAATAAACTTCTTTATATTTACGAAATAATAATTATGCTTCAAATATATTCTGTAAACTAAAATATTTTTGAACTAGAGACATTACTGTAAATGAATATCATTATAATTTGAGATGTAGCATCGTAATATATTATCTACATATATTTAGTTTCATGAACTAAATTATGTTGCATGTAAAAACAAAGTACACTTTTTGAACACTCATTTTTTAATAGAAAAGAGTAAGATTGATTTCATAACAAAATATACTTAAAAGAATTAACTGATTTTAAGTTTATTATTTTTAATAATATAATCACGATATAATTATTTACAATTCTATTACTATAATTATACTACAGTTGAAAAATCAAAACACACAAATCTGATCAAAAATACCTTTGTTTTGGCAGAACAATAATTATTATTAAGATAAAAACAAGTGAGGTTAGTTTAGAGTATTTACAGAATATCACCGGATGAGTTCTCATTTATTGTGCGCATGTTGGCTCTGATTGGCTAAGTGTGTTTCGTAACCAGGGGTAACGTGCATGCGTTTTTGTGACATTGTTGACGCTGTTCATACTTATACAGTGTAAAAAAATCTAAAATCTTTACAATATTGTTGTCTTTACTTTCTATTGATATATCTTTGTTAATTGGATATATAATAACCGATGCAGTGAAAAGTATATAATAATAGGAAGCCTGATAAAGTTAACAGTGTTGAGTCTGATCTCATGTTAGAACAAATGGAATTGTAATCCATTTTTATTAATGTGTCTGTAGCGCCACCTGTAATGAGATCTGTAAAAATTGAACTATATTTCAAGCGTCAATAAATTAGTATATGTTGTAAAATGTTCTTACATTTTAATGTATGGATGTTAAACGGCATTTAAAATTGTTAACTAATGCATTTGTTTTTAACCTTGTGGATAAAAAGTAGTATTTGAAAATAGGTACGTAAATCATAATGGTTTTGGTAGAAAGCATTTATATTGTTATATACGTTTGATAACTATTGTTATTTAAGAAATTTACAGACGCATTGAGAGTATAATTAATGTTAAAAAAGTGACATGTAAATTTATTTAGATTAGTTCATTATAATGTACTTAGAGTGTTTCATAACAAATCTATCATTTCTAGGTTATATTTGATCTTGCATTAGATAAAACTTAACCCTTAACTGATGAGGTCAAAATCTCGTTTAAATTCTATGTTACCCAACAAACTTCTAATCTATACTTACTCTATAATGATTACATATAATGTACAGTATTATGAGCAGTTACTGACCACCTGTAGTTCATAGGTGAATGGTCATTTAATTATCATATTATAACATTATGTGGAACTTCTGAGGCTCCATCTCACCAGTTAAGGATTAAATACAATATAATATTTTCATGTACTAATTTATGTTATATCTGAATTCTGGAGACAAAGTATATGGTTTTAAGTAAAAATTTGTTACATAGACATTACTTTAATTAAAAAAAAGGTATTAGTTATTTCATATGAAATTACTTGTGAAATTGAAACTTTTGAGATCAGAATTTTTCTCAATTACAAATAGTCTAATGTAAATTAATTATTCAATATTTATGTATTAAATTTGGTTCAACTAGTTTTGCTGATAATGCTAAGATTTTTATTATGAATTTCAAATCAAAACTATGAAATGAAATATATTAAAGTTAATTAACTTGACGATTTTAGGCAAATAAATCTGTTTATTGTATTATAATCTAAGATTATATATGAGATATTCTGGTAAAATGATTCTGAAGATATTTATTAAATTGTATTATTTAGTTGCTTGTAGTAAATTTGCTTAAAAATAAAAATATCTATTAACGTAAAGTAAATATTTATTATTTCAGGAATTTGTATAAAGTTAGTGCAGTAAATAGGAAAATATAATTTTATCAAGATGATCTTAACATTTTTCTACTTGATAGCAACATCAATTCAATCCAGAAGAATTTTATTTTTAAAAACACATTTGTACAAATTGTTTCAAGGAAATACAAGTAATTATCCATCGATTATGTTTTATAATAAAACATCATTAAATGCTTGCAAAGGTAATGTATAATATTATCATATGATGTTATATAGATTAATGCAATATAATACAATTATAATGTAGCATAATATGAAATATTTTTCTTTATTTTTGATAATACTAGAACCTTATATTTCCAAAATTATTTATATATCTATGCAGTATAAACACATCTATGTTATGTATTGTAAACACTGCTCAAGTATTTTAGTAAGAAATATTCTAGCACTAGTTGGTAATTGATTAAAAATGGAAGAATTTATATACATATAATAATTTCAAATTCAATAAATTAACAAACTTTGGAAACAGATATTTTTATATATTTATTATTTTCTTCATGTTTTGTTAAAGACATAATTTATAGAATATTATAAGATTATTATGTAAGATCGCAAGATAACTAATCTTTTTATAGAATTATTAAATATTCTTAAAAGTACATTTAATTATTTATATTGCATTGAGTAGTTGAGAAAGTTATAATAATAAGTATACAAAATATATAATTGTTATTCAATTTTATTTTAATGGTTTGGAATAATACAGAGTTAAATTACTTGGTTATATATGTTCCATAAGTTGTTTCGTTTCTTTTTCATTTCTATGTGTTATGATAGCAACTCTTTAAGTAACGTTGAACATTAATGCGAAATGAAATTTTAATTTTGTTTTATCTAAATAATAAAGCTTGATCTTAAAGTAAATACACTGAGTTACATAATGAAATACCAAATAGAAGAATATATATGCTTGGTGATAAATAATTTATTTCCACCATTGTCGTTTAAAAATGTAACATGACTTTAATTTATTTTATTTTATATTTTTTTGTTAAAATATGAAATAAATATAAAAGTACAATGATCTGTTATCTCCGCGCACATTAATTGTGATACAATTAAATATTGTTCACAAAAAGTCATTGCTTTTAATGACAGAGATTTTCTTTTTATAACAAATTTTCTATACTTTTTCTAGTTTACTTATTTATTTTATAATTATTATGTCGAGTTGGGTTGAGATAGTAGGAAAGCACTAATGGAGTTTTTTAAAGTAGTTCATATCAGTACACACATATACATTTAGTAAGTAATGATTAATATCTTATTACCTAAATTGTGTGTATATTTGATAATTACAAACTTTTATTACTTATGTGTTTAGAATATTAAACATGTAAGTAGTAAAGTTTTGTAATTATCACAAAATTAAGATGTAAATTATATTTTTATATGTATTGTTTGTTTCTATTTGATTGATTAAAGTAGTGTTTTTATTGGATGAAAGAAATATTGTTTATTACTTTATAAGTATTATCTAGTATCTTTCGTATGTAAAATTACATATATTGATTTTATTATAGATGATAATTATTTAGTTATTTACTTTTCATATTGATATTTATTTAATGATATTAATTTAACATTATATTTATGTACATATGTATATATGAATATATGAAATAAAATTCATATACAATTATTATTTGCCTTGTTATTGGTTTCATGTAATCGTATAATCATGTTCGTGTTATATTTATAGATATTTAACATTCGATTTAATAAAACTTATGTTTATAAAAAAATGTTAGTCACAAGTTAAGTTTATTCATAAAATAATAACTGATTAAAAGTAGCTGATAGAATGTCATTGTTTGCTTACACCCTTACCATATATGTATACATTGTCCTTATTTTATACACCACAGAACATTTGTTCTTTATATTTTAAATACATTATAATAACAACAGTTTATGTAAGTACTTATGTTGCATTGCAAATTTATGCTCAAAGATTATTATTAATAAAATTTTTTGCTTATTTTGTATTTTGCTTTCTGATTTATTACAGAATTTATAATACAAACACCTTTTTAAAATGCTTAATTTTATTTTAAGTTTTTAATGTGATTATGTTTGAAGATATCTGATCATTAGAGAAAATGCAAAAGTATGTAATAAAATTTTCTGTATTATTTCAAGAATCAAAATCACGTGTAGATGACTATACGAGTGATGAATTTATGACTTCTTATTTATGTGAGAATAAAAATGATGCTAGACTTGAAGAATTATTATGGTATCGTGGTGATACAAGATTGTGCACTATATATCCTCAAGTATGCATAAGAGATCATAATATATAAAATATATTTTAAATAAAACACAATTAATTAATTACTTAATTAATTGTTATTTTACTAGCAAAGAGTTGACATCTCGAGTTGGTTAACGTATCAATATGGAAAAACGTACTTTCCTTTATATACAAATAATCACTGTGGAACTTTATTCCATTCAGAATACAAACTTTATATTCTTGTTGAAGCTGATCTTGAGAGCTATAAACCTCTAGCAGCAACTAAAGCCACAAAGGTATCATTTCTATGTATTACAACTTCTATTCAGTATTTATAAGAAACATCTGGCTTATGCTTATTCCATATTTATATTAAATTATTTGTTATATTACTTTATGTTTTTTTTCCTTTGTGAAAGCAAAATACTATGTAAAGGTTGATTTTTATATTTTATAACAATTATTAGCTAACATTTTTGCCTTTTGCCTGAGGCAATTAGTTTTGTACGTGTTTCTACTATCATTGCTTTATTATATGTTAAAAGCAATTTTAAATAAATATTGTTGCATCTTATGATTTAAAGAGTTATAGTAGTATTTATTAATTAATTAAAATTTTTGTATTTTGAGTAAAGGAAATTTTGTAAACCTTGCAAGATATGTATAGATATACATACTTAAAAATAGTAGCTATGTGTTTATTTTGTTGGTTGTACAAATATAAAAATACTTAATAAAATAATTCAATATTGGTGATACATTGATAATTGAAGTAAACTGTCATTACTAGAATACAAAAATATTTTTAATTAGTAATATTTAGTAGAATTATATGTTGTATAATGATAGCTTAAGCATATTATATATTTTAGGTTGAGGATTATGGTATAATTATTACATGGACGGCCGATAAAAATATTGATTTAATCATAGAATCTGATTTAGATATGGTAGCAAAACTTTTTATTGCAGCGATGGAAGGTCAATGTTACATTAATAATGGCTTATTATTGAAACGTATAGAAAGTATGTACATACAAGCATTGAGTTAGCTTATTACAATTTTGATATTAAAGCAACGATGTATTCTTTCAGCTGTCTTGATATCAGGAAAACCTTGCCTTTACAATAATGACTTATTGAATTCATCTCCAACTAAAAGTAAGAACATTTTAATAATTAGTTAATAAATATCTACAAATTATTTTTTTATGATACATCTTATGTATCATGTATTATGATATATTTTATGTGCAAAGGTAGTTACATTGTAAATATTTTATTAATCTAGATATTTGTAATGCATTATTAGTTCATCAGTTATAATTATTCAGCGTTGTAGATATTCTGAGATATATTAAACTTTGAAACATAAAGGAATAGCAATAAAATTCCTTTTTATATTGTTAAATTAAAATGGGTCTTGAATTTAATTTACGAGTTTTTTTGGGGGTCTTGACTCGAATATATTGTGCAGTATACAATATTGCACATAAAAAAAGGTCTGATACAAAGATCTACTTTAAATTTTTAAAAAATTATTACATTTCTCGTTTGCAATAATAGGGTTAAAAGCGGAATTTCAATAAACATAATTTTACTTAAGTAAAAAGAGCAATATTGGAAAATACTTCATTTTTTCATAATTATAAGCATAAACATTTAAGTCATTCTATCATTATTATTTATTATTTCGGTGAGATAAGATAGTATTTATGAAAATTGGTAAGAATCAGGCATTATTGAAGACGCTCCAAAATTGGAGCAATTGTAACATTCTTAAAAATAACACTGTTTGGAATGAAAAGTTAGGAAACATCGATTTGCAATTGTTTCTATACATGGTACACTTTTATAAAGAATTTAAAAGAATTGTATATTAATAACTGTAATAAGCTATTTAAAACTATAAAAATATGAATAGGGGTACATGAAAAATTAAGGTAATAGTATAAGCAGATACTGGTTTCTGTTTTTTGCGACTGTCTTCCCCCACTTCAAAAACTCTAAAAAAATTGAATATTAATAATCTTGACAAAGCGCTTCTATTGTACAAATATAAACGCGGTTATTTTATAATTTCTATTTAAAAAAATATTTTTGAATTTTTACAATTTTTTAAATATTCATTTTGCGGTTAAAAATTTTGAAAAAATTCACGAACACGTACGCCATAGAGCAGAATATCCCTGATTTTTTTCAAAATTTTCGAAAGATATAAAATTTAAACTGTAAGTTGTGTTCTGTCCTGTAACTACCCTTCAAGTAGGGGTAGATGCTTGATATTTGGCAAAAATAATTTTCTTTGAACTACTTATTAACTGATATACTCATTGATTGATTTGATCTAAACACACTTTGGACCAGCTTATCTGATTATACCCTGCAATCTCACAATAAGTGCATGCGTACAAAATATTTAAGTATGATATTAACTGCTATAAAGTGGTTGTGATATTAATAAGCAATAGCTAAAAAATATCAAACATGTCTCATATACATTGTTTTAATAAGAATTTATAGATAAAGCAGAATGGGAATTACATATAGAAAAATTAAGATTATTAAGCAACACTGCCAAGGTAGCTACAGAACAATGTAAACCACTCGAAGTCAAAGAATTTCCAGCTGTAATAGTGTATCCGGAGAATACAGAGATTATCACAGAAACACATCTTCAACGACAAGCAGTTTCAAGTGAAACTCTAGGTAAATTAGTAAAATTGTTCATTAATAGCACTGTACATTCATTGTTTTATTATGAGTAAATTTCAAAAATTTCTTGTACACTAATTAATATTTTATATTAGAAAGTACAACCAGAAGTCAAGCTTCAACACCAATTTCAACAAAATCATTTCAACAAGAGGGCGAACCAGTATCAAGTACAATGCAAGATTCTACTAATGATTTTATTGAACGTCAAGGTGTATCACGATCTGGTAGCAAGTCACTTGATACACTTGATAACTTGGAAGAAATATCACAAATTAAACAGTTTAGACAAGTATCTTGCACTGATATCAAAGATATGAGTAAATCTAAACCAAAAACATTTTATGATGCTAAGGATAGTAATGTAGCATTATCTACATCTAGCTTTAAGTGAGTATAGTATTAGTAAATACGTGACTGTGAGAAATCTATAAGCAACTAAAAATATCCATTTTTTAGAAGTTCAGCGGCAGAAATAACAACGCAATTACTAAACAAGAATGTAAAACCACCAAATGTTCTAATATATGCTGACAGTGTTGTTGCATGTAATAATGTGAAGGATGTATTAGAAGAATCTCTTGGCACAGAAAAGTATGTTCATGTTTGTTTATTATGTTTATAGTTAGTGGAAATCTTTGTAGGCATTTTCTTTGATTTTGTATTCTTGTTACAAACAGATATACTATTTACACAATGACTTCGGAAGAAGTGCGCAAGGACGCGTGGATAGATAATGCAGTTTTAGTTGTTGTTTGCGGAAATGTTGGGAATGAAATTGGAAATCAGATTGTTGAATATATTCTTCGTGGTGGTAAACTTCTCGCTTTGTGTTCGGATATCATTCACATTTTACTTCCATCGTTTAAAACGGCAGAAGTACGTGAAAACGAACTCGTTCATTTCTCTTATGGAAAATGGAAGCACGTACGCATGATGCATCATATCTTCTGTTATCAAGCATCTCCTGTAAGGACGAGATTTTCTCAAGATCACGAGGATGTAAAGTAAGATATTTACTTATTATATTATATTTACATAGTAGAAACTTATTGCATAATTGAGTTGTACTACGATTCATACATTAATATTTTAGTACACTATACGTAATAAAATTATATGGACCAGAAAATGGTTCTAAAGACTTTCATAAATAAAATGACGTATACTTTTGTAACTTCATAAATATCAAAACATATTTGCATATTGTTTACATAAAAATGTAACTCTGGATGTTTAAAACTTTAATTAAAATAATCTTGCTCCACTTCAGTGCACATTATAGTTGCAGTTATATGTAACAATTTAAAAATGTTGTGATCATTTGAGAGGTTTCAAAAGTTCATTTTCAGAATGTCCAGTGTGTCTCCTCCATCTTCAGCAAATGTGCAAGATAAGAAAGGAAATTCTTATTCATTTGAAGTGAAAGTGCTGGGAACAGAGGAAACATGGCATACACCAAGCATCTTATTGGCAATACTTTCTGGAAGAGGTGGCAAGGTCGTCTTTTCACAAATACATTTGGAAGTGGATCCGATGCAATATGAACTTGAAGAAAGCAAATTTAGTGCTCTAAAAGAAAGTAATGCTATTAGATTGGAAATATTTAAAGATTTATTAAGTACACATCTTGGAATAGAACTTTGTGGTACATCACAAGTATCTGTTACATACACACCAGCTTTCTTTTTAGGACGACATGAGGTGAGGGATATGCAAAGAGTTTTAAATATAAATCAATCAAATAATTTCAATTAATAAATTAGCTATTTCTGTGGTTAAATATAAAGAAATAGCAACATAATTTTAGTAACTGTATCTTGCAATGTAGAGAAGTTACTTACATATTTATTAAATGTATTATAAGACTAAAAATTAAAATATAACAAAAGAGATTCCTTGTATAACAGATTATTGCCTTTATTTAATCTAATTTTTAACTGATATGTTTCCTTTATGTTTTACAGTTAAAACTCGAAATGTTAGAGAGGTTGAAGGATATCATGCAGTCAGATGATACTTTGAAAACGTCAGAGTTAGAGATTCAGTTTTGTCGAAGCAGTACGGTTCCTCGTTCAGCATCAGCTTCATATCTTCCTATTATGTTACATCAATGTCCAAATAATTTCTCAACTGTAGAATATTTTGAGGTAATATTATCATCCAAAGATATATATTAATAACCAACACACTATTAGATTCTTTATGATACATTTTTAGCTTTTTTGTTACAGAATTTAACTACGAAAGATTTAGGTCGTTTAGTAATATATGCAGATATAATGACATCATCCATGGATGTAGTAAATGGTCGTCCATTTCAACATGGTTTAGCTATTATTGTTCGTCAACAGACTAAAGGGCGAGGTATGTTTATAAAGTTTAGTTCATAATGCACAAGACATCAATAAATTTAGATAAATGTTGTTGAATTTTAAAGGTAAAAACTTTATTCTATACCATATTTACTCTATTTAATTTCATTGATATAATAAGCTTTCGTATTAAAACTTGCATATATTATTTTTAAGGAAGAGGAAAAAATATATGGTTGAGTCCAAAAGGATGCGCAAATTTTACTTTGCAACTTCATGTGCCTGTTAATACAATACTTGGAACTCGTATTTCAATTTTGCAACACTTGGTTTCTGTTGCAATTGTGTCTGCAATTAAATCTTTACCTGGATACGAGGTTTGTTTTTACAATAACAAATACAATATTAGAGCGTATTAAGTCACATTTTCTAAAGTTTAGGGGAGAATCAATCAAAGGTGCATCTTTGAAACCATTAGAAATATGTAGCAATAATAGTATAAAAAGATATATAGATAATATAAAAAGTATTATGAGATTTAATCTCTTTGGACTTGAATTGTTCTTTTCAAAGAATAATTTGTACGATGCTTATAAACAAAAAAGAACGTTTATCGCAATATCTAATTATTCTTGAGAATATATCTAATGGCAAAATATTATACTTTATATTATTGTATTGTACGGAATTCTTAGAAATTCCTATTATATACTAACAGTCTATCATATTATTTGGCTTAGGAAAAGATAAAGATTCAATGTAACTTTTATGGCATTATATTAAAATTAAATGAACTTAAATAAAATTGAACTTAATACACTTTGTGAAATACAGATATGTAAATTAACAGTCATATTTGAATTTTTAATGATAGGAGATTGATCTGCAATTAAAATGGCCTAACGACATTTACTTTGGTAATAATATTAAAATTGGAGGTATGATTGTAAGCGCACACGCAACATCAAATCTTACTGTCTGTAATGTGGGTAAGTACAAATACTTAATAAATGATTATTGTTGATTAATATGTACCCATAATTCACACGCAGTCCTATAAACTGTTATTATGCACTAAATTAAAGTACCTTTTATCATTTTTTATAAAAAGTGTTGAAAATTAGTAAATAATAACACTTATTTATTAGGAATAATTATTTATTCCATCGCAAATTTAATACATAAAATAGAAATGCGTGATATTTAATATATTATAGTGTATTAATTTAGAAGAAAAGATATTTTAGGCTTTGCAGGATTTAAAATATTTTTCAATAACTTATATTAATTGAATAAAAATGTATAATTTATTAATTGTAAACTTTTGGAATTTTGCTCTAATTGAGATAAAAGTTTAATATATTTTCCTAAACGAATATGAATTCATAGGTTGAATGTGTAATATTATATTTTTTATTTAATTATAATTTTGGTACAACTAAATTCCTTTTTAGGTGTCGGTGTCAATTTATCTAATCAAAATCCTACATGTTGTATTAATGACATAGTTAACATATTTAATGAAAAGTATCATAAAAAACTACAAACAATATCATATGAATTATATTATGCCATTGTATTTAATGCGATTGAAAAATGGTTCAACATTGTACAAAATGGTGATATAGATCTCTTCTTGGATGCTTATTATACATATTGGATGCACACGTAAGTCTTTTATATTAATTAAAACTTTCACTTAATTTTAATGACTCAGCTTTTCATTATTGTAATTTATTTGCAATAATGTATATATTCATTTCAATTTGGATATTCTTTACACAACGATTTTGCTTGTTTTTTGAGATTCTTTGTACAGTTTTAAGAACTAACTTCCAAAAAGAGATACTTTATACAAAAATGTAATATTTGTAATTGCAGCGATGCGAATGTGACAGTCGTATCAGCCTCAGGCGCATCACAAAACGTTAAAATATTAGGTATAGACGAGTTTGGATATTTACGCGTACGAGACGAGGACGGTAGTATATTTACCGTACATCCTGATGGTAACAGTTTTGATTGTCTGAAAGGACTTATAGTCCCTAAATAATTGGAATCTCATAGAATTATATACGACTTTGTTGAATATAATTCAATAATTAATTGTATATTGTTGTTCTTTTTTATTTTTATACGTCGTATGCATGTACGTTAAATTGTTATAAACTGAAACGTAATCGGAAAGTAGATTGTTCAATTTGCTATTCTAGTTTATTATTTATTGATCGTCGCCTATGTATAAAACTATACTTGTTCGAATTGACATGTTGTTACACGTTTTGATCTAATATTTTATTCGGAAGAGAAACAATAAAGCACTTTGTTAAGCAATGAAGAATGACAAAAGTACAGTTTGTTTAATTATTTATTAACTGGTGGAACTGTGATATTTATTTTACAAAAGGTCACGATGAACTCAAATGATTGGAACCAGGTTATAAAATTGTATTTGAAAAACAAGAAACGTTATAATCCGTACTTCATTATTCTATACATTGCCGTATCATTTTTATATATTAATTTTATATATTCAATCTAAACATACAAACACGTAACAAATTGTAGTTATCATCAGATATCCGAATTTTTCTTAAAAATTGCGTTAATATATCATGTTAACCATATACACGTGCGAGTATTAGAATAGTCAAGGGCATAATTACCATTTTTAGGAATTGGCGAGTGTAAACAGAGGACAAATTTTGAGGTTAAAAATTTGGAGCTTAAGAATTCATATGTTTGTAAATTTAAGAAGTCAGAAATTCAGGCTTTCAGGAATTTGAAAGTTTATTTGGTAAATATTGACAAAAGGGGACCCAGCTCCAAGTCACATTGACCTTCACATATGTTGTCAAGGTCACTGCCCTGAGTAACCTACAATAAATTTTAGTGTAAGGGGTGTTCTAGGATGTTCAAATATATGATATATTTAAATGTATGTAATGTCACAAATATTAATTTTATTTAGTAACTTTTATTGTTAATAACTTTTTAATAAACAACGAGCGACGGCTAAAATTTATTGTAGGTTACTCAGGGCAGTGACCTTGACAACATATGTGAAGGTCAATGTGACTTGGAGCTGGGTCCCCTTTTGTCAATATTTACCAAATAAACTTTCAAATTCCTGAAAGCCTGAATTTCTGACTTCTTAAATTTACAAACATATGAATTCTTAAGCTCCAAATTTTTAACCTCAAAATTTGTCCTCTGTTTACACTCGCCAATTCCTAAAAATGGTAATTATGCCCTTGACTATTCTAATACTCGCACGTGTATATGGTTAACATGATATATTAACGCAATTTTTAAGAAAAATTCGGATATCTGATGATAACTACAATTTGTTACGTGTTTGTATGTTTAGATTGAATATATAAAATTAATATATAAAAATGATACGGCAATGTATAGAATAATGAAGTACGGATTATAACGTTTCTTGTTTTTCAAATACAATTTTATAACCTGGTTCCAATCATTTGAGTTCATCGTGACCTTTTGTAAAATAAATATCACAGTTCCACCAGTTAATAAATAATTAAACAAACTGTACTTTTGTCATTCTTCATTGCTTAACAAAGTGCTTTATTGTTTCTCTTCCGAATAAAATATTAGATCAAAACGTGTAACAACATGTCAATTCGAACAAGTATAGTTTTATACATAGGCGACGATCAATAAATAATAAACTAGAATAGCAAATTGAACAATCTACTTTCCGATTACGTTTCAGTTTATAACAATTTAACGTACATGCATACGACGTATAAAAATAAAAAAGAACAACAATATACAATTAATTATTGAATTATATTCAACAAAGTCGTATATAATTCTATGAGATTCCAATTATTTAGGGACTATAAGTCCTTTCAGACAATCAAAACTGTTACCATCAGGATGTACGGTAAATATACTACCGTCCTCGTCTCGTACGCGTAAATTGGGTCCCCTTTCGTCAATATTTACCGTTTATTTAACTAAGGATTTGTAACTTAGAAATTTATAAATTTGAGTGTTTAAAAATTTGTATATTTCAGAATTTGGACATTTCAAGCTTTTTTGACAAAGAAGCAGTATCTACTCTGTACCAATTCCTAGATACCAGTAATAACGTCCCTAAACTGTTTAGAACATAAAACAATAATAAAGTGACCACCCTCAGTTTCATCCAAAAATCATCTATCAAAATGCTCACAATTTCATTAATTGGCCACAGAAGTTATTCGGATGCATTTCAATTTGAATCGTTTAATTGCTATAATGATTTTAACAAATTCCAAAGCACACCAAGAGTTGGATAAATTTCTTACCTATTGATAAATCTTATTGTTAGATGACATTCGAGATAATTTTTCATTCTCGCAGTCACCCGCTGCTTTTAAGTGTTACAATCGTCGCTTATTTTACGAATATTAGTAGTTTTTATTCAAATTGAATTACTTGTTCTAAACGACAAAACATTTGCGCAGAGTCTATATTTTTCGTTGTCTACCCTTTTGTGATGATCGACTTTTGGCTTACAATTAGTTTATGCATAGATTAGGTCGCGAACGCTTTTACCAGACTTAGAGCCACCATTTTATAAATACAGGACCAGCTAAATATTTTGGCATCTTAAGATGAAACGGTATAACATCTTTTTATGGAAATAAAAGATACGAACGAAATATTAACATATTTAAATATATTTTGATTCTAGTTTTTTTTATTTATTTATTTTCCTTTTCGAGCGGCCACTATAACCCCCCCTGTAGCCGGCCCTGAGTGGCTCCATGGTTCTGGGATGCACGTAATTTAAACACGTTTACGATATGACGAATATAACTGATACTACTAAATTTTATTTCGTTATCTTCTGCGAAATCTCTTTCAACATTTCGTCAAATTTTGTTTTGTCAACTTCGCGAGGAATTTAAAACACGCCATATACATATAATGTTGTTAACAGACAAAATTAACAGGAATAGATCTCTAAAATGTCTACATAATAACACATTATTTACAAATAAATAAACATCTATACAATACCGAATGATACAATAGTCTTTATATAAATAACTAAATGGACGCACATGGTTTCTCTTATGCCAAATTCACGGATTCGCCACTGTTAGCACTTAATTCAATATATGATATTAAAATTTATTTTGTTATAGTATCAATTTTGTAACCAAAAATATTGTTTTAAAATATGTGTTGAAATCTTCCTTGAACCAGTGTTTAACCTCAAATTTTGCCAAATATAAATTAAAACAAGAATAATTATGTATTAGGGGTACCGAAAAGTAATCAAAATTTCTTTGATGACTTCAAAGTTTTTCAATGAAAAATTGAAGGACTTTGTTAAAAAGGGAATCGAACAATTGCCTTTATGCTAACAAAAAGCGTTAGAAAATAATGGAAATTATTTTGTTGATTAGCATTTAAAATTTCTTTAATAAATAAATGTTTTTCGAAAGCAAACGAAATTTTGATTACTTTTCGGTACCCCTAATGTTAGAATAAAGAAAGAAAATTGATACAATAACAGAATAAGTTTTAGTATTTCACATTAAACTTCTTTGGATACTTTGTTATGAAAAGTCTTCATACAAATTTGAATTTTCCCGCTCAAATTTTCTCTTTCACTTAGCATAAGAAAAACGATATAAGCTTCAATATTTAACAGACATTTTACAATAATTCATATCTTTTTCGCGTAATATCTTAACATTTGCACGCATTTTGTCAAAAAATTTACATTCATGCATACACACACTTGCGCGCGCACCTATATCTAAGTTTGTTTTTTAAATCACTATTTGATTTTTTGAGTCGGCAGTTATATGTCTTTGTAAGAGTGTACGCATATTTTCTGCGTTGGACACGTTACATCCAATATTATTTTATTTTATAAATAACACGTAGATTTGGACTTTGATAAATCTACCGTAACAACTAAAGTGTACGTACCCGTAAAATACGCGAAATCAATTTTTCTGCAACATTTCTGCGTAAGAATAGCGATTAAAAATGAATTTTGACTCTTTGAACATTTTATATGACAAAGAACCTCGTTCTCTCTTACGCAGTTTATTTTATAGGACAGATGTAACATTTAACGACTATTTATTCTTTAGAAACATATTTGTAATATATGTTCATAAAAATACCGTCGTATAGTAATTTTATAAAGTCCTTTCTATTTTTATATTAAAATGTTTCAAACTCGCGCGTAAATGCAAGAAACGAAATATTGGAATGTTAATAGAGTCGTGGTATTTCAATCTTTCATTTCCTAACATCGAATGATATTGCAATTTTTTTCCCATGTTGAAATAAAACTTTCTTAACCACGTAGCGCTATTATAACGTTCTCGAATAATTGACAAGTTTATTAAGTAACAATTTCGTTTTCACCTTTTTCAGTTATACGTATTATCTTACTAATTACTTATACATCAAATAAAGTAGATATTCATTGATACGTTTCCATTAGAAAATAACAGTAGTAACAAAAGATAACTATATTTTTGGTAAAATTACAGACTAGAGAGTATTTTTGATTTTAAGTTCCTTTATGGAGTTTTGATTTGTACCGACAATTTTGTTGTTAACTGTATCCATGATGGGTAATAAAGCAGGCATGGGCAGCAAGTAGTAATTTTAATTCTAACTAGAAATTTGAAGATACAAGGTTTTGGCAAATTTTTTTTTTTTGTGTAAAGCAAACGTATGTACTCCGAACATGCATGCCATGTAGGTACTATGTGCATATGCATTAGATATCTCTATTTAAGAAAACATTTCTTTTTCATCATTCCTCATGCGAATGAACATTTATTCATTTTACTTCAACCTATGATAATATACCCCCATTTCACTTTAAATTATTAATAAATATTTTGGCACTTTGAAAAGTCTAAAACAACAGTTATTTTTATATATATATACATGTAGATTGTAACTTCAATGTGTGGAAGAAAAATCTCTTTATTCTATTTTATTCTTTTTCAAAGAAAAAAATGTAAACAATTTAAACCAAATATGTAGGCAAATATAGTTAATTAAAATATGTCGATTATTATTTTGTCTTTTAGTACGAAAATTGCATTTTTTTAAATTTATGATAATCGGGAAATACTATACCGCTCTATACACACATAAATAATAAAAATATTTCTGAAAGACAAAGAATTAAATATTAAATATCATGTCAAGTAATGATTGTTGATAAAAACGACAAGATATGGGTCAGTTTATTTTAATCTTAGATAAATCAGAAGTTTTATTGAAATCGAGAAACCGGCGACGATTTTAACTGACACTGAAGTCTACTACTTGCTGTTTATGTCTGTAATTAGGC